TTATATATTTATATTTATAAATATATAAGTATAATATATTTTATATATTTATTATAATTATATATATATTATATAGTATATAATAGCAGTATATAAGCAGAGGATTGTGTGAACTCATCGGTGAGTAAGAGGTGAAGGACTGTGGTTTCAAAAGTAGAAGAATAAAAGCAGAATTAATATAAAAGTATTTAACTTCCTTGATATGTCCCCGGTGGTCCAGCGGTTAAGATTCTGCACTTCCAATGCAGAAGGCACAGATTATAAATATATAAGTATAATATATTTTATATATTTATTATAATTATATATATATTATATAGTATATAATAGCAGTATATAAGCAGAGGATTGTGTGAACTCATCGGTGAGTAAGAGGTGAAGGACTGTGGTTTCAAAAGTAGAAGAATAAAAGCAGAATTAATATAAGAGTATTTAACTTCCTTGATATGTCCCCGGTGGTCCAGCGGTTAAGATTCTGCACTTCCAATGCAGAAGGCACAGATTCAATCCCTGCTTGGGGATCTAAGATCCCACATGCTGTGCAGTGCAGCTTAAACAAATAAATAAAGGCTCTTCTAATAATATATGTCAGTATTAACTAACTAATTCATTGCAGATATCATGATTATAACATCTCTAGAAGTTCAAAACACTTGTGATTTATATATGACCTTAAAAACAAACAAACAGAAAATGATAAAAGCATCAATTCTACTTTATATTATTAACCATTTTCTCCTTTAGCTGTGGCCACTATTTCTTTATAATTTCAGCTTAATTTTACAGAACACTGTCTAGGACACAGGCCAGACAGCATAGATACATGATTAAAGTTAATAGCCACAATACAAGTAATACCTTGTTGATATTAAATAATGTTGGCCAGGGATGGGATGAGGAGGGAGGCAGGAGGGGGGATTGGGATGGGGAACACATGTAAATCCATGGCTGATTCATGTCAATGTGTGGCAAAAACCACTACAATATTGTAAAGTAATTAGCCTCCAACTAATAAAAATAAATGAAAAAAAATGAAAAAAAAAATAAAATAAAGGCTCTTCTAGAAAACAATCATGGGGAAGTATAAAAAATTACAAAAAAAAGAATGTTTAACTTCCTTAGCACATATTAAGCAAACACATGCATAGGTAATAGTGATTCTGATCAATAATTAATATTTTTGAATTCCAGAGAATATTAGTCTTCTAACAAAGACAACTGGTACAAAATATGTCGTTCTCAGGAAGGATAAAATAGTGCATATAGCCTGAACGGGGAATTAGCAAGGTTCTCCATTAGAAACCTGTTTGTATGCTGTGTGTTTGGAACAGAGTGGTTGATGTTAAGAAATTGAACAGAGGAACAACTGATCAGAGCTTAACAAAAATGATAACTTCATCTACATACACATTCAATTTGTACCACTACAACATGGGTTTTATCCTCACTGGTAGCATAGCTACAGTTGAGGGAATTATAAAATAGGCGAAAGAAAGAAGAAAGGGGGAAGCAAACTTACTGTTTAATTTTGGTAAGACGAAGAGAAAAAGTATCTTACGGAAGTAATGAAGGTGTCAGAAATACATACCGTGGGTTACCTTCGTTGTGCATTTAATAATATTTCCAGTATTATTTTCAGTGCAGTCCAAAGGACTGATGAGATTGCCAATTGTGCTAATGATGTATTGATATCCTCTTCATATTTTCCATAGTGAGGGCTAAACATTAAAAATAAAAAGACTTTATTTTATTTTTCAATTCACAGCTTTTCTCCCCCAAAATAAGTCCATGTGGGCTGGGGCTTAGGCCAATCTGAGAACCAGTCTTCTCTTTAAAGACAACATTACTGAGATATTTTTGACATATATAAGTTTTATGTATTATGGTATACCGTGTAATGTTTTTCTATATCTGTATAAACTGTGAAAAGATTACCATGATCAAGCTAAATGACTTCTTCATCACTTCTACAGTTATCCTGTTATGTGTGTATGTGTTGAGAAGATTTCAGAGTTATTTTCTTAAGGGATTCCATGTGTATACTACAGTATTGTTAGCTATAGTCACCATGCTATGTTAAACGTCCAGAATTTGCCATCCCAGATAACTAAATCTTTGTACCCTTTCACTGACGTCTCCCCACTCCCCCCACCGCCCCCACCCCAGCACCTGGCAACAATGCTACTCTGTGTTCTTACGAGCTCTGCTCTTTCCATCCCACATATAAGTGAAGTCTGCAGTAGTTACCTGTGTCTGGCTTATTTCACTTAGCATTGTATCCTCCAGCTTCATCCATTTTGTCTCAAATACCAGGGTTTCCTTCTTTTTGCAGACTGAATAATTTCAAATTGCGTGTGTGTATGTATGTATATATGTATAGACACACAGTTTATCCTTGAACCACGTGGCTGTTAGGGGTGCTGACTCCCAAGGTACTTGAAAATCCTGACTAGATAGCTAAAAAAAAAACTAATATCCTTGTATAATCCTACATATCTGTTATTCTACAGCTGTGGATTCAACCAACTGCAGATCCAGTAGAATCTATTTACTGAACAACAACAACAAAAAATCCATGTATAAGTGGATCCACTCCAGTTCAAACCCACATTATTCAAGGGTCAACTTGTACACACACGTGCCACATTTTCTTATCCATTCATACGTGCACAGACACTTAAGATGTTTCCATTTCTCGCCTATTATGAATCATGCAGCAGTGAGCATGCAGTGAATTTGTTTGAGGTACTGATTTCCTTTCCTTTGGATCTTTACCCAGAAGTGAAATTGCTGGATCGTGGGATTGTTGTTTAGTGGTTATGTTGTGTTCAACTCTGTGTGACCCCGTGGAGTGCAGCCCTGCAGCTTCTCTGTCCACAGGATTTCCCAGCAGGAACACTGGAGTGGGTTGTCATTTCCTCCTCCAGGGGACCTTCCTGACGCAGGGATTGAACCTCAGTCTCCTGCGTTACAGGTGGATTCTTTACCACTCAGCCACCTGGGAAGCCCGGGTCATAGAGTCGATGGTGGAGACCCATCCTGGAGACCTCCACGGAGACCCATTATAATCAAATCATCAAAAGTTAAAGAGACAATTTTGAAAGCAGAAAATGTGACTGTTACATACAAGGTTTCAGCTGAAACCTTGAAGGCAAGAATGTTGTGAGATGATATATGCAAAGTGCTTAAAAGGAAAAAAACACTGCCAACCAAGCCACTAAACCTGGAAAGAGTATCCTTCAAAAGTGGAGAGAAGAAAAAGGTCTTCTCAGACAAATAAAAGCTGAGGGAGTTCATCACCACTAGAACTGCCTGACAAGAAATGCTAAATATAGCTCTTCAAGTTGGATCTAAAGGATGCTAACTCAGCAAGACAAGAGCATAAGCAAGTATGAAACTCATTGCTAACACTCACATATAGGCAAAACCAGGTTAGACTCTACTACCTTAACAGGGGTGCGTAATCATTTTTAATCCTCATTTAAAAGTTGAAAGAGAAAAGTGTTCAAAATAACTGTCGCTAAATACTGTTAGTGAATGCACAACATAAACAGATGTAAACTTCGAATGAGTCTTTCCCCTCAATGCTCCCAGAGGTTTGGCTTTAGTGGCCTGGAGATAAGCCTTCCCAAGAGGCTCAGTGTTCAGTCAGATTGTCGCCCAAGGGACCAGCCCCAGCTCACTTCTCACATGATCACACGGGCCGGCATTTTCACATGAGTGCCGCTCAGATGAAGGCTACTTTATTTCTATTTATTTAGACTTTATTCTGGATGCTCCACTTAGCATACTAAAATTTAAAACTAGTGTGTGGGTTCAGAGCAAGCTCGGTAAGTCATGCCCTCACCACAGTCCCTATCCTTCTGTAATTAAATGTGTTACCGGATTAAGTTGGTTGGTGCCTTGAAGGAAGATATTAACAATATTTATATTTTACTTAATAATCAATGTTGAATACTCCAAGGTTTGTCTTCTGTGGGAAGATTTCTTGTTCAGAACCTAGAGAGAAGAGAATTGAAGAGAATTCTCTTCAAAGAAGATTCATAGTTGACTTAAGAAAAAAATCCTTTGCCCATTTCATATTTCTAGGGAGGCTGTTCCAAGAATCTACCACTTAATTTCTGTAAGTAAAATCCGGTATGAACATGCTCTTTTTTACTGAGGAATAGTTATGTAAATAAAGCAATAAAACTATGTATGTATGTGTTTGTCTATAATACACACACTCAAACACAATTAAGTAACAATTACTGTGTAGCTTGGAGACGTGTGTAAGGCCCTGTTTGAACTTGTAAAGAGAGATAGAAATATGGCTGTTTTATAAGGAGGATATTCATAAACTAAGACTTATTTTTGCTGTTTCTACTATCTTTCCAGTTCCTTCTAATTATTTATGGCATTGTTTTGTTTACTTTGCCTGTTCAATAAGCTTCTGGGAAGAAGGAAATGAGACAATGTAGGTGAAAGTATTCCAACAATATGGGCTTCCCTGGTAGCTCAGATGGTAAAGAATCTGCCTGCAGTGCAGGAGAGCTGGGATGAATCCCTGGGTGGGAAGATCTCCTAGAGAAGGGAATGGCAACCCACTCCAGTATTTTTGCCTGGAGCATTCCATGGACAGTGGAGTCTGGGCAGCTACAAGTTTATGAGGTCGAAAAGAGTCGGACACAACTGAGCGACTTTCACTTTTTTCACTTTCATTCGAACAATCTCTTTTTCATCCAAAGATGTGAATTTTAATTCATTTTTTTCCTCCGAAGTGACTCTGAATTATATGAACCTAGAGGGCTCCAAGAATTTAATAGGAATTTAACTCCATGTTAAAACCTAGGCTAAAAGTCAAGGGGATACTCTGTGAGGATGTGAGGTTTCTGGAACGTTTCTTACACACGGGTTGCCTGACGCTCTGCTGTGCTTTGCTCTGATACCATCAAAAACAAAAGATAGAAGACTTAGGGACAGCAAGGGGAGGAGCAGTGGGGCAAGTATGTTTTTTTTTTTTATATGTGTCCTTAGATGGGAGGAGAAAGTGGGCAGTGATCGCTGTGGGGAGGAGCGGGACACAGACAGAACCCTAGAACTGGCCAGTAAAAGGGTAAAAGAGGTGAAGACTTCGCCTGCATCTGCAGTCCCGGCTCACGCAGCCAAATCGGCAGCGACTTGTATTTGGGGCACTGTCTCTTAGTGCGGCCAGTTAGTCACCTGAATACTTGGGAGAAGTGCGGTTCCTTGGAGCTTCCTCCAAGGTTCTTGAACCAGAAATACTGAGGGTAGCCAAGGAATCTGTGTTTTAATGAGTTCTTTAGGCGCTTCTGTTACAGGCTGTTTAAGAATCACTGCCCTGTGTAATACACATCATCTCAGAAGCAATAATTTTAAAATTCAATAATAATGTATGTCATGTATTTAGTACAAACGGGCAGTAAATTCTCAGTACAATAAGCTGTGACTATAATGATGGTTAGTCCTTGTTAAACACTGTAATTTGCTGGAAGAAAAGTCCAGGTTAGGAAACTAACATGTATAGTCACAGATTTTAGTGCTTATAGTGTCCTTAAAAAATGGTCCAGGGACCCCTCAGCTGACCTGCACACAGATCCCATGGGAAGTGAGAAGGGCTTGTGTGCGCGTGTGATCAAGTTGTGTCCAACTCTTTGCACCCCCATGGACTGTAGCCCGCCAGGCTCCTCTGTCCGTGGGATTCTCCAGGGAAGACTGGAGTGGGTTGCCGTTTTCTTCTCTAGGGCTCATCCCGACCCGGGGATCGAACCAGGCTGTCCTGCATTGGCAGGGGGATTCTCGACCATCGAGGCACCGGGGAAGCCCTCGGAGGGCCTGAGTTTCAATAATTGAAATCAGCTCTCAGCTGGAGGTGCTGCAGTCGGTCCTCTGACCACAGTGTGAGTGCTGAGCTCTGGCCCGCGGCCCCTTTTACTTCTCCGTGGCAGTCCTGCGCAGCCCCTGAAGCCCTCTGAAGCAGGAGTCTGAGTGCTCGTGGAAAAGCCGATGACAGAAGCTGGGAGCAAGTTGGGGCTGTCTGAGTGCGTGGGCTCCCCTCCCTTGAATTGTGGCATCTGTCCGTCTGTCTTTAGGAGGCCATTCAGCGCTTCTCAGAAAAGAAAGTTTGGAAAGCAACCATACATTGCTAAAATGTTTATGGTCACTTTCTATTAATTCCACACCTTCAGAGGGAGACAACTGTAACTTTGGATTAGACAGAAGCGAGGCCATTGCGCAGGACAAGCCGCACGTCTGTGATCTACACACCCCTACCGTGCAGACTGTCCTGTGCAGGGCCATCTAGAAGAGTCCGCACTCCTGCTCTGCTTCGTAAAGCTTTCACTTTAATTTTATTTTGAACATTAAAGCAGTTTCTTTTTGGCAGCTAAATTTAGTTTTAATCGCTGACTCGTATACATAGATCTTGGTGTGTAACTACAAGGATGCTACCAAGGGAGGTTTTTCAGTAACCTACATTGTTTCATTGGTCTTCCCAGGCGCTGCTAGTGGTAAAGGCCCTGCCTGCCAGTATAGGAGACATAAGAGATGCAGGTTTGATCCCTGGGTTGGGAAGATCCCCTGGAGAAGGGAACAGCTACACACTCCAGTATTCTCGCCTGGAGAATCTCATGGACAGAGGAGCCTGGTGGGCTATATAGTCTGTAGGGTTGCAAAGAGTTGGACATGACTGAAGCAACTTAGCGTGCACGCATCCTTC